CCCTAATTTAGTTTTTGTTAGTGGTTCAAAAATGGAAAATTATGTTTCTGTATTTGTTCATTGTAGGAGGAGGGGAGGAAGACAAAGCAGAAAACAAACTGAGTTATATTCCCAGTGGGTAGACTCTAATGATAGGCTTGAAAAAGTCCTACACGTGGTATGCTCAGCTGCTCTTTCAGAAGCATCCACTGTATTTGTGGCTGGAAATTTTTCTTGTGTGTTAGAACTGAAAAAGGGAATGTAAATATGAGTTAAGTTGCCATAAACGTGTGTGTGTATGCACGGGATGTGTGTAACAGAGAGCAGCAACTTGTCCTGTCCTTCACAGCCGTGCCTCTTTGCACATGGCTGTTTCCCGCCACGGGCACCTGTATTTTCCAGGAAACTGAAGAGCTTCCAGTGTTCCCGTTAGCAGGTCGTGACCTGAGTGACCCGGAGCTGTGTGTTTAAAGGCACGTGTGTTCCCCAGAGCGGCAGCGTGTGTGGTGCTGCGCGGAGGGAGTGGGTTTTTCCCAGCTAAGGATCTCCAGACTCTGCTGAGGATACTTAGTGGATTAGTGTCCTACTCTATACATTCTCTTAAAAGTTACTCCTTTTACTTAGCCAAAGCGTCTGGAGTTGGAAGGGAGGTGTTGTGCCTGCTGACAGTGTGTGCTGCTTCTCGCTTTACTTTTTATCTCCGTGGTTACTCAGCCTGGCAAGGTACTCCTCAAAGGCTTGTCTTCCTGGGAAAGTCGGTCCAGATTTACTTTTCAAGCAACCTGGTCAATCCTGCTAAGTCCTGCATAGCTGTGTCCACTGCAAATTTAAATGGCCTTAATTTGATTTAGTTCAAGTAATTTCCGGAATGCTATTTCCATATAGAAATACGATGTGGTTTAGCAAATTTTAAATTTGCACTGTTTGTTAGGTTTTTTTTCCTCTGCTGAGTGTCCCTGTGTAGGTGACCATTCCATGTTGTATACCTGCAGTAGTGTATGTGCGAGAGGTGACGTAAAATGTCACTGAACTCCTGAAATTTGAGTACTTGGAGTGGGCAGATATGACTGGTATTTCTGTGATGGTGTAAGCTCATATCTTTGTCTTGCTGAAAGGGCTAAATTAGTATCGTTAGCTCCTACTTGGTGGTTCTTCAGTGCGAGCTGCAAGTAATATTTCTTGCTTTAAACAGAAGGTTTTGTCTAATGATTTTGTTAGCTCTGTATAACTGAATCTATTAAGAATACAATGGTGTTTTTTCCTCAACTCTCCCCTTCTACAGATGATGAACGGAAGCTAAGTACGGTCCACTACGAATGTGTGTGTGAAGGCATGTCCTGTGGGAATGGAGATCGTTGTCAAGGCCAGCAATGTTTTGCTTCCCTGAGCATTAATGACGGTGCTAAGGTTTACCAGAAAGGCTGCTTCCAAGTCTACGAACAAGGGAAAATGACGTGCAAAACGCCTCCATCTCCTGACCAAGCTGTTGAGTGCTGCCAAGGATACCTCTGCAACATGAATATCACTGCACAGTTGCCTTCTTCTAAAGGTGAGAAGTTAATAAATAGTGAATTCTGAGAAGGAAGAAAGGTTCAGGTTTCATTTGATGTGATGGGAGTGAGATGGCTTCAGTGCTAGGAAAAGCAAGTGCTTAACCAACACAGTAAGGCCCTCTTATCTTTGTTCCCCACCCTGGGGCCCACTGGCACACATCTGATGTCCACAGGTTGAGTGATCTGTATTTGCTGGATGAATGCTAGGGGTGAACATGCGCAGTCAGGGTCAGGACTGAGTTGCTGCCCGTGAGGGAATTGCAGGGTCACAGGTGGGGTTTGTCCTGGAGGGACAGGGTGGGTACAGCTCTGCAGGGAGTCGCTGCGGTAGCATCCTTCCTGTAAGTGTATCTGGCTGTATTGTGGCCTCTCTTCCAGACTAGGTGGCTACCAAGTTAAGTGTTGGTGTCAGTGCTACTGGTTTTAAAGACTTTCTCTGGGAGTTTGCAAATTTATTTTTTCTCTCTCTCTTTTTTTTTTTTTTTTTTTTTCCTTCTCCCCTCTCTGTTCCAAGGGCAAAGCTTTCAAGGAGAAGCTGCAGGTTACAGCATGGAAACACTAATCATTGTTATACTGGCTCCTGTGATAGTGTTGATAGTTTTTTCTGCAGTAGCTGTGCTGATCATCCGCAGAATACAGAAAAACCATATGGAGAGGCTCAATTCTAGAGATGCAGAATATGGCACAATTGAGGGACTCATTGCATCAAATGTTGGAGACAGCACGTTGGCAGTAAGTAACCTATGTGCATGGAGAAAATCTGTGTGAGCTTTCTTCACTTCCAAGCTCCCCTCGTACCCTCCAGATACGGCCATATCAGTAACAGGACCTTTTTCTGTCAGGGGATGCCATTTAGCATCAGGACTTCTGTGGTGACGTTCCTATGCTCGCAAAGCTGTAGTTTAAATGGAATTTAACCAAAAGATAGCTTTTGCAAGTATAGCTCCTTTGACCTGGAGAATTGCTATAAACTGTAGTCAGACTGTTTATGTTCCTAGAAGCAATGTCTAAACAGCAAAACAGAGTTTGTCTGATTGTTGGGTAGCCTGAAGTGATATGAAAGGTGTAAAAATGTGCTGCACTTTTGATACACGAAAGACAGCCTGAAAGGTTGGTAAAGATGTGATGCTAGGGGAAGAAGAAAATACAGATATATCTAACTTTTAAAAACTTCAAACCTTATTCCCATGGTCTTAGTAGAAGAGCTCTTGGATGACTAGGAAATTAGTGAAATTTTGTTGACAGAAGAACAGTAGGAATTTTAAGAGATGAGAACCACTTCCTCAAAATTAAGTTTTTAAAGTATGTTCTTGTTCACACAGTCTCTGGAAAATAAAATTACATGGGGAGGTGTTTCATTTTTAAAGACTTAATGTATCTTACCCTTTCACTTGATGCCAGGAAAGAAGTGTTCCCAGCAGCTTTCACATGCTTTATTGAAACTGAGCAAGTAAGACTTCAGAGGCAACTTGAGTGTTTCTGAAACCAATGCAAAGAGAGGTTATTTCCTCCTTGCATTTCTAAGATAAAACCTCTTCAACATTAAGATGTTGGAAAACATTTTCCATTTTGGTGCTTTCCTGCCATAATGTGCTTCCACTGCAGAGTTGAAACGTGGCTAAAGAAAAATGGTGCAAAACACCAATATTTTTAATGATACCCTATTAAATATATTGACTGGGTATTTTCTGTGTTTTGGATTGTGTTTCTCTCTGTAGGAGACAGAAACTGAAATGGGTATTTCTTTAAGTGGGGAATAACCTTCGATTATTTTCCTTAGAAAGTGTTGGTTACCACCAACTAGGGAAGCGGTTTTGACTATGTCCGAAAAAATACCCAGAAAGCAGTTGCGCCTTCTCATCTGAAGGCTGACAACCACTTGGAGACCCAGCTATGGGAATTTATTAGAAGAAAGATCCGTGGGACCGCTCAAAAAATGCAGCTGTTTTGGGGAGCTGGAAACTCTTCCTTGCATCTCTTTGTTTTGAGGCAGAGATGCTTCTACAAAATACTGCTGTGAATAAGTGCTGGAAGAGTCACATGGAAAACCCTTGCATTCACAAGACAGTATGTCCTGACAAGTAAGTTTTCAGGGTTTGAGATGGCCAGTAAGGGGCACCATTGGAGCAGGGAAGATTCTTCTTTAAGGAAGAATAGGTTGAAGCTGAGTAATCAGACTCCTGGTCATCTGGATGCCCCAATATGTGTTTTTGAAATGGCCTGTGTGGGGGCATGAGTAAGTAAAGCAGTGCTTCAGCCAGGAAGAAGAGCTGGGTTCTCTTAAGGGGATTTGGGGGTATGATGGAGACACACAGCGTGGCAAGGGGTAAGGAGAGGATGGGTAGGAATCAGTTGTTTGCCTCTTACAGTACAGTAACAGGGGGAGGCATCAAAATTAACAAGTAAGAGCAAGGATAAAAATAAGGAAGGTGCTTCTTAACACAGTGGTAATTGAACCAGTGGAACTCCTTGCCTGACGATTTTTCTAGATGCTACAGGTTTGTATACATTCCAAGAGCAACAGGATGAGAAGACTGTTTGTTGTTAAGCACATAAAAAATTAAAAAAAAAAAAAATCAATCCAGCTAAGGAAGTCCCTGAGCTGAATGTGCTTGGAGGCTGGGAGAACATTAGAGGAAAGTGTCATGTATGTTAAAGTATTCCCGTATTCACTTCTAATTCACTTCACTTCTAGTATCCCAATATTCCAATACCCCAATGCCCCTATATACTTCCATATGTCTAATACTCCTATATGTCTACTACTCCAATTCACTCCACTTGCAATACCCTAATAAATGGCATTGCTTTTGGGTACGGTCAGAGACAAGATACCGATTTAGAGGGACCTGAGGGTGGCCTCTGATAACAGAGTTCTGACTTTTAAATGCTGGCTTCCTTGGTAAGATGGAGCAATGGAAGTTGCCTCCCTCTTAGAGCTTGAAATGTCCGGGCACTTCACGTAACTGCAGGTTCAAGCGTGGCGCGAACTGCAGCAGGTTCTACTACTGCCCTGCTATTTTGCTTCAGCTTGGCCCTATGTAAACTATACTTGGTAATTTTTTTTTTTTTAATACCTTTGGCTCTCTTTAATTAGCTCATAAGGCTTGATTCTGTGTTAGTGTTTTAAAACAGCCAGTTTTGATATGTTCACCATGAACTAGGCATGTGTGCCGCTGGTTATCTGTCTTTAAGCATTGATGTGCAGCTTTTACCAGCTCTTATCTCTGATTATCAGTGCAAGACCATTTCCATTCCATTTGCAAACCTTTTGCACTTCAAGTCATTTAATGTTACTTGGAAACGGTGATAAAACCCGAGAAGAAGAAATCAAAATTCTTTTTAAAAGAAATTGGAGAAGTTGCTAACTGTAAAGGCTTGGTCTGATGGAGCTGTTTTGTTCTCGGCTGTCAGACGCTCTTAGCTGTATGATTGCAGTGCCTCTGGTGTGCCTCTTGAGTGTTGGTGATGTAAAAAAAGAAAAAAAATTGATAGTTCCTTGTTTCTAAATGGTCATCTAAACAGTAAGTATTTTTTAAATTCCACGTTTTTCTTCTCCATTGTGTGTTTTAAATTGCTGGCTTTGTTACACATTAGGTTAGTTTACATTTAGGATTAATCGCTATAGTGTAGCAAATGCTTAAAGCCCTAAGCTTCCTGATGGGGAATGGAAAGAGCTCTGGCCTCTTCAAATCTTGTTTTTACAGTTGCTGCAGATAAGTTTCGGGTTTTTTGCCTCTGATACAAGCAGGAAGGAAAATAGGCTCTCGGTTTGTTTTAAAAAGCAAAATAGCAGTCTCCTGTCATTCTTAGATTATCTTTTTCTTGAGCACTCATTAAAAAACTGTTAGGAGAAATGAGATTTTCTCAGGTCTGGTTAAAGCCCAGTAGTGCAGTTTATTGGAAATATTAGAAAGTTGATTATGCTTATGCTTTTTTTAATCCTGTTTTCCTTTGTAAAGGAAAAAAAAGCCCAGTAATACAGTTGTTAATGCTTTGAACTAGTACAGAAGTCCTAGCCATAAAAGTAGCTGGGTAATAGCATTTTAAAAGGCTAATAGGATTTTAACATTCGGTTAGAATCTCACTCATGGTTTTTTATAAGCTTACAGTTTAAAGTCTGGTTTCCACGCACTAAAAGTACCAGAAACAGATAAAAACTTTTCAGAAAGACTTGTTACGGAAGATTTTCTGCGGTATCTATGATATGTCCTCTATCACCTTGTTTATTTTAAACTTTAAAACTGTTTTTAGTTATAAATAACTGTACCAAACTTGAATAGTTTGGGCCAACACTTCCCATGACTGTTATCTGCCACAGAATGACTTTTTTTGAGAGAGACTCTTCATCTAGCGTGGTTCAGCCACTTTAGGGAAGGAGACTTACAATAAATTATTTTGGTGTTGTCTTTTACAGACGTTCTGATTTGGGGCAGGGACTTGAAATTTAGCAGAGGAAGCCCTGTGGTGCTGGGTGTGCTTGTGGCCATTCTTCTCAGGGCTCTCTCTTTTGAGCCACTTCGAAAGCTTACGGCTTAAAAGATCTGTCCGTAGACGTGTGAGTCCGTTCCCCCGTGGATGCGTGGTGCCCCACATGGAGACGGGGCTCGTTTCTGCCCCGAGCCAAGGCACCCGTGCGGTGTTTTGGGCCGCAGGGCCGAGGTGGGGAAGAGGAGGGTGCGCAGCTTGGGAGCGGGCAGCGGGGGGGAGGCGGTCGCTGATGTACGGGGCCAAGGGAATCATGATAGCAAGGGCAGAAACAGGAGCTGGGGTGGGAAACGGGCAAGGGGCGTATGGCAAAGGAGCAAGGGAAGGAAGGTTGGGACTAAGGTGGAGGGAAGAGATGAAAAGGTAATGGAGGAAAAGGACTGAAAGCTGGATGGGGGGCAGAATGAGGGATGAGCAAAGAGCCTGTACTGGAGGACTGTTACTCTCAAACTATCTCAATTCTCTGTGTAATGCATGTGAAATAAACTCTAACCAAAGCATGGATCTCTCCCCTTCTCTGCTGAAGGTAATGGGCTTCTGCAGCTAGCCCTCGTTGCCATACTGCAGAGGATGTGTCTACGCATCTTGATCTGGTAGATTACCTGCAAAACAGCAAAATACTGAATGATTTCGTTTCTCTTCACTGTTACTAAATTAATTTTTAGCACTTATTTTTGGGATTTGATTGCTAGAACAGAGCTGTCTGGTGACATTAAGATGGTGTGTGGTTTTTAGGGCATCTGTGCGAATCTGACAAGTATGATACAGGACCTGTTGGATACCTCTTCTCTGGGGTTGTGTCTGCAGGTCAGTGAGACACACTAGGACATCCCAAATAGCCCTGGGTGCTGTTAACCAGCAGTTCAGCAGTGCTTCCTGCGGTGTCAAGCAAGGCGGTGAAGATCGCTGCAGCAGCCTTCCTCCTGCTCTGTTACAGCTGAAGCTCTGCTTTGCAGGGGCATGCAGTTTCATAAATCCATGCTCAGACTCAAAAGTGGGGAGGATGGTGCATGGACGATGGGGTCCTGGGCTGCTGTGCAAACCCACCCGCTGGTTCAGCCCTTCCAGAGGGGTTTGGTTTTGGGGTGCTCGCCTGCCCCACCTGCCAGAGCACGCTTTGCAGCGGGGGCTCAGCAGGACAGCGGAGCAGCGAAGCACGTCTCCAGCCCCGGTGAAATTGGTGGCCTTAAATGTGCAATTAAAAGTTGAAGGAAAACATTTTACAAGCAAGCGATGCTTTTGCC